GTTTTAATTAAATAATTTTTTCGTCGTTGTTACAATTACTACGAATAATTAAATTTACATTACCTGAAAAAATTCATTTCCTTCTAAACTAACCGACAGACGAGTGTAACTTTCCATTAATGTATTGTCTGGTTTCATACCTAAACAAGAAGTCAATTCTAAACTTTCAGGAACATGCATTAATGCAGTAGTTGATTTAGATTCTTCTTTTCGAAACATAGCTGAAACAAATAATTGTCAGATTAAGGGGGGAAACTCGTGTAAAGAAAAATTTTTACAATTTTATTTTCTTGCTTTAAAAATTAGTTATTTTATTAGTTATTTAATTAGCTACCAAATACAGTTAACGGTGCGCATGAGATCGCTTTATTCTTTCGCTTTCCTGTCAATATAATTTTATTAATTGTCAGAAGCAAGCACTATTAACAAGTGATAGTAAATCTTGATTTTAGTTCAATAGTTATTTTCGAATACATAACGTTTTCAAGGCAATAGTTAAAACTATACTTTTTTGTTTCGAAAACTTTAAGGCTTAATGGGAAGTTGCCAATACTTACGATTGGTTCAATAATGGGCCATTCTTGGCGCCCAATCGTTTTCACGCTACTGACAATGATTGGCAGCCAAGCATTGACCTAATATATGGCTGCCAAGAAAACAAATCTGATTTTCAAAGGCAACAATCATTGTCAAATTATTGGCAACAATCATAGGTAACCAAGAATAAGCCAATATTAAAAATTTTAATAATTAAAACAATCAATTATTTTAAAAAATATTTTATTTTTATTATTTTTTAATAATTATTATTTTATTTTAAATAATTCAATTAAAATAAAAAAATGGTCATGACAGTATATAGTGAAACCATTTCTTCCAAAAAAAGTTTGTCTCACATCCTAAGAAAAGGAGATACATGGGGCAGAAAAACATTTTAACGAAAAAAAAATTTAGTTCACTTCTAATATACAAATCTAGTGACACCTCAACTGCGAGAAAGATTGATGTTCGCTCTCTCTATATGGCGTTAAGCGAACTAAAATCCAGAGCAGAGCCAGCCGCGCAGCGTGGGAACATTTGAAAAATTTGAATTAATTAGATATTTTATTTCTTACTTTCAAACAAATAATTAGATTCATATAACAATTAATGTAATAAAATTTAATTTAATAAATAATTATTTATAATAATGTTATATTTAATAATTAGTAAAGCAATTTTTTTCAATGAAAATTTGACAAAAAAATTATTTGTGGCCAAAAAATATTAGGATACGAAAATTATTTGTAGCCCAAAAAAATATGACGATGAGAAAATAATTTTTTTGTCAAATTTTCTCTGTAAAAAAATTATTTAACTAAAAACTCCAATAATTAGTTGATTAATTTTTTTTACTACCTTAATTTTTTAAAAAAATTATTCGTATCACAAAAAAATATCACGATGAGAAAAGAATTTTTTCTTCAAAATTTTCTTAATAAAAAATTATTTGAAGCCCAAAAAAACATCACCATTAAAAACTAATTTTTTTTGTCAAATTTTTTCTGTAAAAAAATTAATTAACTAAGTAACGTAATAATGAGTAAATTATTTTTTGCAACACTAACCTCTAAAGTTAAATTTTACACACCAAAAATTGTGTGTAAAGAAGCTCTTTTTTAAACGGTGTGTAAAGTGATTCACTTTACGCACTGAAATTTACTTTACGCACTGAAATATTACTTTACACACTGAAATTTACTTTACGCACCGAAATTTCTCTCACATAATATAAGGATTGTTTTAGACTATACAAAACCACAAAATTAAAAAACGAACTTTACTATTAAATTTATACACTTCTGCTTAATGATATTTTTCCTGATCTTCGATTGATTTTTTTATTTCTATACAATCGAAATTATTCTAATAGAGAGTTGGAATTCCACATAATAGGTACTTAACTTAAGAGGTGGGTGTTGCAAAAAATGTTGTATGATACACGTGCGTAAATCTGATTATACTCGTGTGCATCACTCGGCCTCGCCTCGTGCTGCAAACGTCACACTCGTATAATCACTCACTTTACGCACTTGTATCATAAATAACTATTTTTTTACTACGAAAATTTAACAAACAAAATATTCGTAGCACAAAAAAAATAAAACGATATGAAAATAATTTTTTCTTTAAATTTTATTTGTAAAAAAATTATTTGTGGACCAAAAAAAAATTTCACGATGTGAAAATAAATTTCTCTTTACATTTTCTTTGTAAAAAAGTTATTTGTGACCCAAAAATTTAACAAAAAAATTATTTTCTCATCGTGATATTTTTTTGGGCCACAAATAATTTTTTACGAAGAAAATTTAAAGAAAAATTTATTTTCTCATCGTTATATTTTTTTGTGCTACGAATATTTTTTTTGTTAAAGCGAACATCTATCTTTCTCGCAGTTGAGATGCCACTCGACTTGTATTTATTATTATTTATTTTATTTGTTTTAGGACAATTGTCCATACAAAGAGGTTGCGTCTTTTTACAAAATAACACAAAATTAAGTAATAACATTCATTTTTCCTAGTATTGAGATAAAAAACGTATAAAAATTAATGACAGTTTCATGACGAGGATCATTCAATACATTAACAACGGCATTAATCGTGTTTCTCTCATTGCACTCAACAGTAACAAATTTCATTCTCTCTTCATGATAAAGTAAACATTCGACCAAAATATGGTGTAATACGTCACCTACTAACAATCCACATCCATTGCATGTGCCACATTCTTGTAATTTGTATATTTTTTTATTAAACTTAAGTGAGGATTGGTAAATGTTAAAAAGTCTGATTTGTGACATAAATCTATTGTATTTTAAAGGTTAATTAATAAGAAAGTATTGTTGGAAATTGTCTGAAATAGATAGGTGTGGTAGGACACACAGTGAACGAGACTCACACAGGTTTCTTAAATCTTCCGCATAAAGAAAATTTTGGTAATCGCCAACCCATGGAACTTTGTTTGCTCGTAGGCTATCCAAGGTTAAATTCTTCCAGTCATTTTCCTTATCAATGTATTGAAATATTTTTCCTGTTTGTGAATACCAATTATATTTAGAATACTTATCGCCGCTTTTTGATATAGATCGTAGTTTTAAAAAACATAATTTAGGATATCGTTGATCATTCATGTTTAAAATTTTCTCTATATAATTCAATGTGTGTTTGAATATCAAAGCTGATAGTTTATATGAGCCCGTCTCTAATCTAATCGCATATCCGGGTGTATTTCTAGGTAAATGCAAAATAACCTTATAAAACAAAGACTGTATCTCCAAATACCTCCAACCCCATATGCCCCATACATTAAAACACTAATGACCAAACTGATAAAAAGTTTTCTGACTGAACACCAGTTTTTTAATTTTTCGATCAACGAGGTCGTTGTACTCAGTGCTAATTTAGTCTTGGATACCGCATTGTTACTGGCGTTCAGAAATACTGCAGAAAAGGGAATACCTAAATATACATAGCTCGAGGCTATCTGAATTTTTTTATCTTTTTCAATAAAAAACGAGTCATATTTTTTGTCATGACCGTGTCCTCCTTTTTTTGAAGATTACTATGTTGGTCTTGCTAATGTTAATATACAAATTGTTTAATTGACAATATTTATGAAAAGCTCTCAAAATTTTTTTCATTTCAATAGCTGAATCCGCGAGCAGGGCTATATCATCTGCAAAGGCCAAAAGGATAATCTGAGTTAAGTGATTCAGCGACACACCCCTGATACCTTCTTTCCTTAAAAATTCCTCGATGTCCGCGATGAAAAGAGTAAACAAAATCGGACTCATAACCTCTTCCTGGAGGACACCCCTCGTGAATCTTACCGGCTCCGAGATCCCCGCCGATCCCCCAACCGCTATGGTAGCCTTAGAATAAAGATCTTTTAATATTCCTTGTAATTTTTTTTTAGTAATTTTTTCTTAGTGAAGCACTCGTCATCAAACAATGGCTTTGAATTAAATCCGAACCCATGCACCCTTTTAACCATTCCCAATTTTATGGCATTTACAGTAATTACATTAATTAAATTATCTCCCCATTCATCAATAAAATCAATATCTTTTGAGCCTATATCAACTTCAGGCGATTGGTATTCCCAAGACTGCATAGGCTCGGAAAACTCATCTAAAAGATTATTATTCCACTTGAGGCCAGAGGTTGAGGACGATAGCTTGACTTTATTACAGAGACTAATAAGAACTGGGAAATGATCCGAATTCGAAACAATAGTGATCACTTGCAAATCAACTATGAAGTCCAAACCATTAAGGTTCGACCATACCATGTCAATTATAGATCTACCAACACCGCTGACAAATGTAAAATTTTCTGGGTTGTCACTCCGGGATCTGCCATTAACAAGACTGAGGCCACTATTTTCCATACCAGTATCTAAATTAACTCACCTTTTATCATGTTTTATATCTAAACTATCTCTTTCATGATCAATAAATAAATTTTTCGATAAAAACTCGTGTGGTAATTGATTCAATCTCCCACTCTAGGATTAAAATCTCCTCCTATGTACAATAGCAGATTCGGGAATTTAGATATAACAATATTAATTTGATCGTCAAGAACATTTAAAAAATTAGCAAAATCAGCATTTGGGCCAACATATACAAAACCTACGATAAATTTAAAATTCTTATTTTCAAATTTAATAAAATTACAATCATCTGTAGAATAAAGTTTTTCGGCGACATATTTACTATTATGAAAGGCGACGATGAGTCCTCCCTTCGCTCTCCCTCTTAGTGCTGTCCGTGTTGTCGAGCTGTAAATAACATCAAAACCCTTGAGGTAAGATGCCATGTAGTAAGTTGGATCGTAGTCTGCCCAAGTCTCGTTGATACACACAATATCCGCCTCATTAATCGTTGGTAGTATATCTGGCAAGTTTCTCAATCCCCTGGCATTCCAAAATACAATCCTCGTCGGGTTCACTGACTGCTATGACACCTCTGACTCATTCTTCTTATCATTTCGCATCGGCTTACTAAGATAGGAAGAAATTATTTCTCTGGTATCTCGAACCGGTTGACTTTTAATTTTCTTATTATCACCATTCTTTTTGTTTGTTTGTGTTCTAGATTTTTTGTTGTTGAGGTTGGGAGTGGAATCATGGGTGGAATCGTCAATCTCACTAGACACTCTCACTTGTTGATCCTCTTCGTTTACAATGGTATCTTCACCAGTTGAGGATAAATATTCCGAGACCGTAACTGCATCATAGAATTTGTTATCCATTACCAAGTATCTGCCTTTGATAGAGACCACTATTCCCTGTTTTTCTAAGAGTTGTTTATAATCCAGAAGCTCTCTATGTTCTTTCCTCCTTTTTTCTCTGATCTCCTTAGGAAGATCATTCGAGAGTCGAATATTATTTTTACCAAAGTTTACAGCTTTTTGGAAGATCATCGATTTGGATCCCTGGTTAGTCAAAGTAACTAGGATAGGTCTAGCACCAGCAACTTTACCCAGTCTCCTTGTAGCCACAATGTCCCTCATTTCCAAAGTAACTTCAGCGTGATGGAAAATATCTCTAAGCGTCTTGAGCAGATTTTCGTTTTCAGCAATCGTGTCTTTAACCTTGAACAAAATGATATTTTTAGCCCTCTCTCTGTTAAGGAGGGAGTCGATTTTTGATTCGCAGTTAAGAATTTTATTTTCCAAAAAATCATTTCTTGTCTCGAGTTTGTTGACCTTCTTAACCATGAGTGAGATCTCCTCAGTACGGGCAGCATTTTTCTTCACCAGCGCTTTTATTTCACTTTCAACTGTGTCAAGTTTACCACTAAGCTCTTTTTTAATATCAATTAACAAAGATTTCAAATCGTCGTTAGTGGTCATTTTCACAGTTCACGTTAGTGACACGAAATTAGAAATATTATAATTCTCGCACTGATTAAATGTAGATACTATTGAAACTATAAATGTAAACAAAACTTTCAAAGCAATAGGGAACGATTATACAACACGTCCGTTCGGCTCGACAGCCCAGACGCAACTTCCTCTTGACTTCTATATAAGAGGTGAACTAAAATTTTCTTTCCTTGGAATATTTTTCTGCCCCACGTCTCTCCTTTTTAGGATGTGAGACAAACTTTTTTTGTAAGAAATGGTTTCACTCAGGGTTGCCAGCACTTTTTCCTTATAATCGATGCCATTTTGCGAAAAATGCATTTTTTTAAAACGGTTACGTATTCCTCTAGATTTTTAGTTGCAGATATACTAATGCTTTTTTTTATGTAGCTGAATTCTGGACGGAGTTATGGTGCCCACCGCACGGCAATCGATTTTTGAAGCACTCCGCCATAAATTATTATTTTTTAATAAAAAACGATAAATTAATTTTATTTTACATATATAATTTTAATTGTTAAAAATAAATTATTTATGTAACTTTTATAGCTTTGCCATGGAAAGTTTTTGGTCTGCATTAATAACAAAAAAGTTAGAAGCGGATTTTTGAGAGATGTTTTTTACTCAAATATTTTTGTCGGGTGGATTGAAATGATACCGAAAATATTTTTAAAAATATGAAAAAATGTTTCGAAAATGGTTTTCTAAGCGCAGCGTTTACTGATTAGTGTCATGAAGTACAATAATAGTACAAACAACTATCTCAGTAAAAAAATAATAGGGAGTAAGAGAAAAGAATTGGCGATGACCAGCGGTTTCGCGTCTAAACCAAATTGGGAGGTTACAGTGTATTCTTTTTTTCTTACCTTGAATTCTTTTTAAGCTGAATCGATTGAATTTACATTTATTGATTCGAGTTGGCATTATAAATGAAAGAAGTGATTGTTGTTAACTGTGAAAATGACGATTACGAACAAGAAGTATGAAATTTTGTTAAATTGTGAAAAAGATAAATTTGATTGACAGGCAGTATAGTGTTGATCTATTACCATATAATTTAGGCTGTTTTTGTGGTTCGCGCTGTGAGCATAAGTGAATCTTTTTAGAAAAAAGGTAGAAAAAGTTAACTTATTCACACAGCGCCCTCAGCGCGAAATAGATCAACACTATGCTTTTACCTGTCAAATTTGTCATTTTCCCAATTTAACAAAATTCCATATTTCTTGTTCGTAATTGGCATTTTTACACTTAAGATCAATCACTTTTTCATTTATGATGCCAACTCGAATCAATAAACGTAAATTCAAACGATTCAGGTAAAAAGAATTCAATGTAAGAAAAAAAGAATTCACCGTAACGTCTCAATTCGGTTTAGAGACAAAACCGAATTCAGCTTAAGTCACCGCCAATTGTTTTCGCTTACTCACAATTATTTTTTTTACTGGAATAGACATAACATGACTATGTCAATACTTCGTAAATGTTATTTTTGCTGTAACTGTGAAAAAAATGCATTTCCCAACACACCCGCTGTGCTTACCCACCCGACAGTAACTTATATTTTTGAGAAACGCGCGATTTTGGGCAATTTGAATGCGGTGCGACTTTGGGCGACATATATGCGCAGTGACTGCGATTTGAACAAGTAGGTATCTGGCAAACTTGGTTTCACTATATACTGTGAAGACCATTTTTTTATTTTAATTGAACTATTAAAAATAAATAATAATTATTAACCCCTTCACTGGCAGGGTCATAGAACGCCATTTGGAACGCCCCGCCAGTGAAGTGATTAAAAAATAATAAAAATAAAATATTTTTTAAATAATTGATTTTTTTAATTATTAAGAATTTTAATATTGGCTTATTATTGTTTGCCAATGATTGTTGCCAATCCTTGGCCGATCTTTCGCAGTTAATAAAAAATCAAGCCTTTGAAAATCAATTGTGTTTTTTGGCAGTCATTATATTAGCCTAAAGCTTGGCTGCCAATCATTAGCTGTAGCGTGATCATTCCAAGCTATAACAAATGGTGGTTGCCAATCATTTTTTTTAATAATGGCAGGCTGTTTGCCAAGTATGTCCCATTATTGAACCAATCGTTCTTTTCCTATTGGAAGGAGGCTGGACCCGTATAATGGGGTCAAATTATCAAAACAATTTTTTTTATTAATTATAATAATAAATATATAATATTTATTGCGTAACCGTAATCTGCGTAATCTATTATTTAATAATTAGTTTCTTTCTTTTCTAAATAGCAGCGTTATACATATATATTATACAATTTGTATTTAAAGGGTACTTTATTTTTGAAGTCCTGTATATAAATAATATATATATATACAGTCGCCTCTCGATAAATTGAACTTCAAGGGACCGTAAAAACAGTTCAAATTACCGAGAGTTTTATTTATCGCATGTTTTAATTATCGAGGGGAAATTTGGGGAAATTCAAAATAACAGGAGTATTGAAAATTTAATTTTTACGTATTTTAAAAAGACATTCTTTACAGTTGGATATAGTCTATGTAATCTTTTTTGTTTTAATGTACTCAAACGTGCAATATCTATATATTTTTTTCAATTGTCATTAGATCTGTAAAAACTTCTCCGACTTCCACGCGAAGTGCATATGAGTGCAAAGCATTCAAAGATGATCTCGCCTCTTTCAATGTGACATCTTTTTTTGTTGCTCCTCTCTCTACCACCTCAATAACTATTTTCCTTTCGGAAAAAGATAAATTTTTATTGGTTCTTAGAAACATTTGAAACGATATAAACCGAGGCAGATAGCAAAATGAATTAAGAAATTACTCAGCATTGTTAATAATAAGGTAATTAGGTATTGTATTGACAAATGAAACAATACAATAACTATTATTAAGAAGAGAATATTTTGTACGTAAATATGTAAATTTGTATCGCAAGAAAAGTTCAAATTATTGAGAGTTTGGTCTGGCTGAATTCAATATATAGAGAGTGAATGGAGAAATTGACCAAAAGATACTTTTAATTATCGAGAGTACATAAAACCATTGTTTATTTTCAATTTACCAAGAGTTTTTCAAGGGACTGGACTGTTACTTCAATTTAACGAGAAATTCAAATTATCAAGAGTTTAATTATCGAGAGTCAACTGTATATATATATATATATATATATATATACTGTAAGAGGAAAAATCTATGAATCAGTCCTAAGCGTGCGTGCGAGTTAGACGCTCATTGACCAACGCATAAGAATGAATATAATTGTAAAATTGTAAACCTAAAAATTCGATATTTTTAATACAATTTTATAAACAAATTACATTATCTAGGGGTTCTACCCCTCTGATTGTGATGAAACTTAAATAAAGTGTATATGGCAGTCTCCTCTTTAAGTTCCAAAAACAAAAAATTTGTTTTTTCCACTGGAAGTGTATTAAACGAATTTTTTATTGTGACGCGCGCCATATCACCGTGAGCGTCTCACCTGCCGAACATCCAAACATACTGGAGCATGATGCGCGAAAAGAAGTGGTTTACATTTTTTGTCTATTAGTAAAAATTCTACTACCGTTCCTTAGTTGAATTCACCTGTGTTAACTCTCACGTGCCTGAGTTCATTTTTTGAAGTTCGTGCCTGAGCTGAGTCCGAGGGACCCAGCTGCTTAAATTCCATAAAAAATAAGATTTAATAGCAGGATATTTAATAATGTAGTTCTAAGTTATAATTGTAATATTTTGCAAATATAATTGCAAAAAATATTTAATCTTTTGACACTGTGGGGTACATAAATAGCCCAAAAAAAGTTGCGTTGTGGCACCTTTTTCGACAGGGTGAATTTAAGTGTACAGCACAAAAAAAGTAATTATTTTAATTTAAGTATTACTGGGAATTCTTAGGTTTTTGGGGTCACTGATTACAAATCAGACGTCAGATTTGGGAAATTTTAAATGGCGGATCCAATATGGCAGACGAATTTTCAAAAATTAAACATATTTTCTTGAAAATAGTTACTCGGGGGTTTTCGGGGTCGCTGATTGCGAATTTAAAGTCAGTTTTTCAAAACTCAAAATTGTCAGATCCAATTTGGCAGACAAATTTTTAAAAATTAAACATATTTGCTTGAAACTCGTTACTCAGGGGTTTTTGGGGTCGCTGATTTCAAATCTGATGTAAGTTTTTCAAAATTTAAAATGTCGGATCTAATATGGCGGATAGAAAAATTAGAAATCAACACAAGTTACTAATATCAGATTCGTAATCAGCGACCTTGAAAACCCCTGAATAACGAGTTTCAAGCATAATCGTCAAATTTAAAAAAATATATCCGCGATATTGGTTCCGCCATTTTGAATTTTAAAAAAGTAACATCAGAATTGTAATCAGCGACCCAGAAAATCCCCGAGTTACTATTTTCGGATGAATATGTAAAGTTTTTTCAAAAGTCGTCGGCCATATTGGATCCGTTATTTTGAATTTTGAAAAACGGACACCGAATTCGTAAATTTTAAATATATCTTTAAAGGCTAAATTCAGCGTAGGTTGTCGCAACCCTGCTTACAGTGATATGGCGCGGCGGTTAGCGCGGGTCACAATAAAAAATTCATTTAATACACTTGTAGTGGAAAATACAAATTTTTTCTTTTTATAACTTAAAGAGGAGACTGCCATGTACACTTCATTTAAGTTTCATCACAATGAGAGGGGTAGAACACATAAATAATGTAAATTGTTTATAAAATTGTTATTAAAAATATCGAATTGTTAGGTTTACAATTTTGCAATTATATTCATTGGAAAAAAGCAATTTTTTATATTATCAGTATAAGTTTTATTAATTTATTGCAAACGTTTGTTGAGTTATTAATTTTTCTTTAAAATGTTGTTAAATTTGTTTATGCAAAAAAACTAACAAAAATTTAAAATTTCAAAAAACGGTTAAAAGTGTTTTTTTGTTTTATTATAAACTACAGATTTTCATAAAAGTTTTAACATTT